CATGTCCCATAAGTTAAATAAAGCCCAACGCAATTATACGGTCACGGAATTAGAATGTCTTGCGGTCGTGCTAGCTCTTCATAAATTTAGGCCTTATATCGAGGGACATGACTTTAAAGTCGTAACCGATGACGCTAGTTTAAATGGCTTATGCACCAAAAAGACCTGAGTGGAAGATTAGCAAGGTGGGCATTGAAGCTACAAGGCTTGAACTTTACAATTGAACACCGTAAAGGTAGTGAAAACAAAGTGGCTGATGCTTTATCACGAATGTTCGAAGATGACTAAGGAGGTATCGCTGCGTTGGAGCTAGAGACTATGCCGGAAATAGACTTAGACTCTGAATTTTTTGAATCTACTGAGTATAATTACGGGAGAAGTTTGAAAACAGTGAGTTACCCGATTATAAGGTAATCGACAAATACATTTATTATCGTGCATCCTTCAGCAGTGAAGATGATAGGGAAGCGGACGAATGGAAGCTATTAGTTCCCGTGGAACTGAGAGAAAGTCTAATGTACGCGGCTCATAATACGCCTACCTCGGCTTATGGCGGTGTGGCAAAAACTTTAGAACGGATACGAAGAAATCTGTACTGGCCAGGAATGGTGAAGGATATACGCAAATATGTCCTTTCTTGTGGCTTGTGTAAAACATCAAAAGTACCTACCTACTCACTACGACCACCAATGGGTCAAATGGTGGAGTCAGTGCGACCATTTCAGCGCGTATATATTGACCTTATTGGACCATTTCCAAGTTTAAAGAGAGGTAATATCGGAATTCTTATAATTCTTGACCATTTTACCAAATTTACGTTTCTTAAACCAATAAGGAAATTTAGCACTAACCTCATTACTCAGTACCTTAAAGAAGAAATTTTCGACTGTTATGGCGTTCCTGAAACTGTTGTATCCGATAATGGTAGCCAGTTTACTTCAAAAGAATTTATAGCTTTCTTAGCCAAGTTTGGAATTAGTCATGTCCGAACTGCTGTGTACTCCCCTCAAGCGAATGCATCTGATCGCGTAAACCGTTCGGTAAATGAAGCTCTGAGATCATTCATTCGTAAAGATCAGCGTGATTGGGACAAGTATATACAAGCAGTATAAATTGTTCGTTGCGAAATAGTTTACACCATACTATAGGTACATCACCTTACTACGTACTTTTTGGACAGAACATGCTAACACATGGATACGACTCTAAAGTTTTGAAAAAAGTTGGTCTCCTTTCCGAAAGCACTGCTAAGCTCGCGAGGGAAGACCAATTTTCAGAGATATGAGATACCATAAATAGCAAGATGCAAGCCGCGTATAACAAAAATGC